TAAACTGTACGGCAGTGGGCAGCCAAAAAGGATGCTTGTTGTAAAAGGCACACGCAAAGATTGAAGTTGAGTCATGGTGAATGGGAACCTGTGGAGGGAAAAAAAAAATCCCACTGTAAACCCAGCCATTCCATCCAAGGGGTTAGCAACCTGAAAAGAAAAACACCCACAAGCTCTCAGGAGTCAAGAGCTTCTGTGGGAACAGGAGAGCACTGCAACCTAGCCTGACTGATTACTGCATATCTGATAAGCTAGGGACCAAAGGGAACTTTACATAAATTATCTGTTACAAGGGCTTGCTGCGGCACTTGGCACTAGCTCTTTGGTGAAGACATACGGATGTGTTTGCGCAGGCTGTTTACCTGGATTGCTGCAATCTCAGGCAATCTTCTCTCCATAATCCCAGCACCAGTAAAGCGTGAGGTGGGAGAAGGGAGTGGAAAGCCATGTCTCTCAACATGGAAGTCATAGAAACCATGAGAAAGCCCAGAGTGTGAGGGAAAGTATGGATAGGCGTTTGGCCAGGATCCAAGGGAGAGATGGAGGGGGAAAAGAAAACAACTGCTTAGGGCCAAACCACAGATGTGATTCAGTGGACAAAGGGCTGCACTAGGGACACAAGATCAGAAATGGAAACAGTCAGTTTATTGACAAAGGGAAAGGAGATGGCTCAGCAGTTAAGAGGCTCTCTTTAAAAAAAAAAAGTGCTTATTTCTGGGCACTTTATGATAAGTGGCCCAAAAATAAAGAATCCAAGAAAGAATGTGTCGCTTACTTGCCCAATGGCATCCTCAGAGGGCAGATGGAAAGATTCCTCATCACCACTGCCACCACTGTGGCCATACTGATTCTGGCCAGGCAGTAACTCAGACCTCTGTCTATGCTGGGTCTTAGCTGGTTTCCTTTCCTGAAGGCTAGGGACTGCTTTTCCCAGTAGTCACTGCAGGGCATCTCTGTGCTCTGCAGGTCTCCTGCCATACTTCCTAACCTTGGTGACCTCCCATGTGCCACAAAAGACTCTAGTGCCATAGTGCTGCAAGTTATTGGTGCCCTTTCTAGAGGAAGGGGGCTGGAAACAAACAAAATGGGTGTAAGAAGACACAGCACAACAGCGGGAGAAATGTCTGGGAGGTGTCTCATTGGTGTGGGGAGCGCTGCCTGGAGAGGGACAGTCTCTCCTAATGGGAGAGAATGTCTGGAACTGTACAAACCAGAGGAAAGACTTTAAGGCTGGGGTGGCTCTGGCTTGTTTGAAGAACCAAAGACTGTGTGGCAGGACTCAGTAGGTGGAGAGAGAAAGCCTGAAGTGGGATTGAGAGGGGAGATGGACTGTGTGGTGCTGGGGGAAAAGCCATGGGCAGAGTAAACAGATACCCACTTCAGTGGGATTGTTTCCCATAAGAAACCTGCGTGATCTTCTGCCAGGACACCAGCTCACATCAATTGGATGACTCTTCTTCTTCCCCAGGATGTGACTTCTGGGTTTCAAACTTTGCTCTAAACCTAAGCCTCCAGGTTCCTTAGGTCTCTTTTATGCTTTTGTGACATGCTGCAGTGAAATAGGACCTAAAAAATGATGTGACAAAACACCTATACTCCCAGAAGTCAGGAGGCAGAGGCTGGAGGATCACTAGTTTGAGGCCAGCCTGCCTCTGTAGAAATGCAGTTTGCCTAGCAGGAATGAAGGTATGCTATTTTCATTCATGTGCTATACATGAGTGCAAGTAGACATGGAAGCCAGAGTCAACAGCCAAATCCTGGGAGCTAATACTAGTGTTTTTGACCCGTTAGATACTGGTGTTGGAATCTGAACTCCGGTCTTCATGATTGAGCAGCAAATGTTCTTTGGTTTTGTTTGTTTGTTTTCTTCTTTCAAGAAATTTTCTCTGTGTAGTCCTGGCTGTCCTGTGACTCACTCTGGAGACCAGGCTGGCCTAGAACATGGAGATCTGCCTGCCTCTATTTCCCAAGTGCTGAGATTAAAGGTGTGTGCAACCACTGCCCAGCAGAGCAGAATGTGTTCTTAACAGCTAAGACGTTTCACCATCCCCTAGGAGCGAACATATTCTAAAGAGACATTTGTGCCCTCACGTTTGGCTATCAGACCATAGAAAAGATGGTCCCAAGCTGAGCCTTTAAGCCTACCATTCAGGAGACAGAGGCAGGCAGATCTCTTGAGTTTGAGGCCAGCGTGGTCCATGGAGTGAGTTTCAAGCCAGTTGGAGCTACATAGGGAGATCCTGCCTCAAAGAGAAAAAAAAAGTGTGAACTAGATGTATCACTGCTGCATGTCACAGGGGGGTGTGAAAGAGATCTAAGAAACCTGTATACTTAGGTTTGGAGCAAAGTTTGGATCGCAGAAGCCACCATCTGGGGAAGAGGAAGAGCCATGCAATTGATGTGGGCTGGTTTCCTGGCAGAAGATCAGGCAGGTTTCTTGTGGGAAACTATCCCACTGGAGCAGGTGTCTGCTTACTCTGCCCACGGCTCTTACCCCCAGCACTGTGCTTTGGTGTGTTGTGAAGAGTATTACAATCATTTTCCCAAGCCCCGATTTAAGCATCCACCAATCTTGGTCTCCTGATTTGTTTTGGTAGAGGTGGTAGGGCAGCTAGGCCCTGGTAACATGACCCTGTTATAGCTACCAGGGTCCGGGAAACTTTGGTAACAGAAGGATCCTGACTTAAAAACAGACAAACCCATCCCCACATAACAAATGACCGCTTTATATTCTAATAGCAACTAGAACGAGGAGTGGTGGCCAGCAGCCCCAAGCCAAGTTTTTCTTGTAAACATTCATTCTCTGTCGAAAACTTTGCCCTTTACTTTTGGCAACACCAACAAATATGTGCACTATCTTGTTTTCCCCACTGTGAAGGCTTTGGTGATCTGGGGAACTATTTTGTTGGTTTCTGGGCCCTTTATTTGGACAGTCAGGCCTTCTGGATTCTGACTTTTGGGAAAAGGCACAAATCATTTCTCTTCAAATCACTTGTCACTGAGTTTTCTCATTCAGCTAGCTTCTCTGTGACTCTGCATCTCCTCCCCCACACCTTGTTTTCCAGGCTCACGGATACGGGCTTGTCCCTCAGCCTCCTCTGCCAGCTGGTGGCCTCTCAGGGACAAGGTCTGTTTAGCCCTGTACCCTCAGTCCCCACGACCATCTGCAGCTAACATTGGTCACCACAGATTTTTGGCTGCTGCAGTACTGCCAAACACCTTTGAATGAGTTAGCGTTACCATTCAGCAGGCTGAGGTCCTTTGCTCTAACTGGATAGAGAGCACGAGGAGGCAAAAGGAAGCTCTTCGAGGGCTGTCTGGTTTTGATGGCTTAGTTTATGCTAACCGTGAGTTCATGGCAGCACACAGCATAAGCAGCAGCAAGTTGCGCCCTCTAGTGTTACATCTTAAGGTTATGGGACTCTTGGCCCTACAGTGTCAAATGTTACAGCTTTTATATAGGTCTAGAGTGTGAGGATTCCACAGCCTTATAAGGCACTAGTGTTACAGCTCCTGGGTGTATGGTGTCTGGGTCCCCTGGCTCTCAAGTCCGGACAGCTCTCTGGAATTCTTCAGGCAGCCTGTAGCCCTTCTCTGGCTCTTCACAGCTTTCTGTCCTTCAGCCTCAGCTCTTTGCACACCCTCTCTTTATTCCCACTGTCCTGGTTTCTGTTCTGGCTGCCCTCTGCTACCACCCACTGCCAGCTCCTGCCACTCCTCTACTGCTTCCACAGCTCCATTCTGCCACTCCTGCAGTTCCCCGGCTGCTACTCTGCTGTCATTGCTGCCGCTCCACTGTCCCATTCAGGAGCTGCAAATTGCTTCAGCAGCAAGCAGCTGTGATGTTTGTGTAGCTGCTTCAAAGTGTCCACCGATTAGCCTGGCTCCCTAGGTGTCGCAGTGAAACCCAGGAGCAGCAACAAAGTGAAACTTTTGCCCAAATGGGTGTTGCCAACAGGTTGGGAGGTGAGGTTGAGGGGTGAGGGTTTGGCTCTTTGGAACACAGAGCAGAGGCATGCTGTTGAATGTGGGCTGATTAAACACACACACACACACACACACACACCTTTCACCTTCAAAAGGAATAAGAGCTATCTTAGTCTGGAGTCAGATATGAGTGACTATGGTTTAAATACCATGTCCATCCACGGTGACAGGTTCATGATGTTTTTCACAGTAACAGAATCCATAAAGTATTTTAAAAATACACTGGTAGATACCATCATGTAGGTGGTTAGAACAATGTGGGGAATCACTGTTACATGTTTAGCCTTTGTGTCGGTGGAAGCAAAATAGTTCGTACATTACAAAATAATTGAACAATTACTTTTTGGGGGACCTCAGATAGCAAAGTAAGGACAGCTCTGCTATAGGTTTCTTATGTTTTCTTACCAGAGCCTTATCTTTCGGGTTGGTGGGAGGCAATGTTCTGCCAACTTAATATATTCCAGAGATTTTGCTTTTAGTCAAAGGATTTGGGGTCACACACAGAGGTAGGCAATGCATGGCTATGAACGGGCTAAACAATCGCCCAAGGTAAGGCTGGCTCTGGGTCTGCACTCCCATTCTTCACAATCTAGTCAGCCAGCCTTGTAGAAACCTCCACATAAATGTGGCTTTCTGCTGGGAGCATAGGTTACGTCTTGTTTGTTGTTCAAGTAACAACAGCCTCTCCATCCTTCTCTCCGTGTTATTAACTTTGCTGTGGGAGAAGCAGAATACATGGGGCCAAATTTCACTTTGGGGGCCTGAGATGGATGAAGAGCTGTTGGAAACTCTTATTCCCACGCCAGAAAGCAAGTCAGAGAGCAAGTGGAGAAAAGGCTGAGCGTTCAACCCGGCAGGCTCCCTGGAGATGCGATCCGTTCCTCCCTCCAAACTGGTGCCTCCCTGAAGGGTACCGCCCAGCGGGTAAAATAGAGGGCGTGTCTTTTGGCGCTAACCCGCGTGACGTCAGCGCACTGCCGGGTCGCGTCATCTCACCGCGCCGAGCGCGCAGACATGGCGGAGGTTGGCAGAGTGCCGCTGAGCGACCCTGGTGCTCTGCTGCCCGCAGGCTTCTGGGCTGCCGTGACCGTGTGGCTGGAGAGGCCACAGGTGGTCAACAAACGGCTGTGCGGCGTCCGCGTGGAGGTCCGCGGGAGCGCTTCGCGGCCCCGCGCCCAGGCAGAGTGCGGACCACGGCGTGGACGGGGACACGGGCCGGAGGGGCTTGACACGGGGGAACCCGGATACGCCTCTCCCGAAGGAGAGCCGGGGTTGGGACCTAGGGCAATCGGCGAAGGCGACGCCCCCGCGGCTGACTTAGACTCGCTGTGGGACCGAGTCTCCCAAAGCCTCGTCCAGGACAGTTCGGAAATGCTGGCTTCCCTCTCTGGCGCCGCGTTCGGTTCTCAGCCTGAAGCCGCGCAGGAGCTCGATCTGGTTCTCAGAACCGTCATCCCGAAAGCGAGCCCCCACTTCTCCCTTACAGTGCCGAAGAAAGAACTGGTGGTGCAAGGTGGGGGCTTGGTTGGGAAGCGTGCAAACAGATTGAAAAGCGTTTCTTTCTTGAGACAGGGCCTTTTATGGCCTAGACTTTGCTATGTAGAGTCTGTTGGTCTTGAACTCACAGATTCACCTGCCTCCGCCTCCCAAGTGCTGGAATTAAAGGTCTGCGGCATCCCGCCCAGCTCCAGCTCTGTACTTTCTAAGTGCTGGCTGTAATAGTGTGTAAAGTGCGGAGCCCTTCTCCCCAGCGCTGGACATCTACTGAGGGTTGGAAAGCATCCTTCTCATATTCGTTGCTGTTCGGTTATACTTCTAAGGGGTTTGTTTGGAGCAGCTATGACCTCTTGGCTTTTCTTTTATCCTCAGATGTCTCCAATGGGAGGGTCACCTTTTTGCCCTTGGAAGAAGATGATGCAGGGAATTTGGAAGTTAAGATGAGCAACGTTTATCAGCTCCATCTGCACCACAGTGAAGGAGAATGGTAAGAGCTGGATACTGCTCTATTGCATCACTATGTGATGCTCTTCAGTGACATTCTATCCCTGAGTTTCTGGAAGGTTCTGAGGTGCAGAAAAGGCCTTGGGTTGGTGAGATGGTCTCAGATGTTTGCTCCAGTCACCACTCTCCTGGTTCCTGGTGCTGGTCCTGCGTTGGGGATTGTAATGTGAGAAAGTTGAGAGAGGTGTCTGACACCTGTAATCCTAGCCCTCAGGGAGGCAGAGGCAGGTGGATCTCTGTGATTTTGAGGCTAGCCTGGTCTACAAAGTGACCAGGACAGCCAGGACTACACAAAGAAATCCTGTCTTGAAAAACAACAACAAAAAACCAAACACAATGTAGCCAGAGTGCCCAATCTCTACATTCCAGCTGGCCTCAATGGTCTGCAGCAACTAGTTGGGGTTTGATGCTAGTCAGCTTTCTGTTGCTGTGGCAGAATGCCCAAGGAAGTCAACTTGAGGTTTCAAGCTTGCTTCAGATTTTACAATCTGAGTTTGATCCTCAGAATCCACATGTTGGAGAGAACCAGCATGTTCTGTGAGTTGTCCTCTGTCTTTTGTAAGCACACGTACATGCATGCATACATACACACATGTACATACACACACACACACACACACAGATACAGCTAAATGTATATAATATTAAAAGGGTCTTAGGTTTTCATACATGGTCGCTCCCCTCTTTGGTTTTGGGGCCTGTGGTGAGAAGCTAGGAGCATGTGGTACAGTCAGGCCTCTCACTAAGGACAACCAGGAATCGAGAGGGGCCAAAGACAAATTCTACCCCTCAAGAGCCCCGATCCTTCACAACTCCCTACTTTTCCAACAAAACCTCACTCTCTAAGCTCCCAGTAACCCTTAAACTGAGCCAGTCTATGAGTTAGCTTGTTGAGGAGGTCAGTCCTCTTATGGTTCAGTCACTTCCTAAAGGTCCCACCTTTGAACTCAGCTGAATTGGGGACCAAGCCTTCAACACAGGAGCCTTTGGGGGACTTTTCAAATCTGGAACAAATTCATGTGAACTCTAATCCCATCATCATGCTGTTTTTATATCTCTGTCCAGAGGAGTGGGTGGCGTAGCCTGTCATAGTGTACAGCCTGCTTAGTATAACGTGCAGGCTTCTCACTCGGGGAGAATGGGGGAATACTTGCCCATTATGTGCCTAGCCAGGCCCTGGGTTTGGTCTTAACAACATCAGCAACAACATGCACACACTCACCCACACATATATACACAGGGAGAGAGAAAGGATGTCACAGTTACTACTCTCTTCTGGGAAATAAACATGTAACTTAGTAAGATTTGAAGCCAGCTCTTCTTACTGCTGTTTCTCTTATTTTTGAAGGTTCATATCTGTTTTAATTTTCTGTCCAGAGAGGTGGCACTCAGATGGTGTTGTCTATCCCAAGCCGGCCTGGCTTGGAGGAGAACTGCTGTCCAAGCTGGCCAGGTGGGCCGTGGAGAACAGGAAGAGCGAGTTTAAAAGCACACTCTCCCTAGTGTCCATCCTGCGCTATAGCAGGATGTACTGGGAGCTCAAAGAGAAGTACAGAGACATGGTGAAGGTAATGCTAGCGGCACATCCACGGTCCCCTCACTGAACAGGTGACATGGCCAGGGCATGCCAGGAAGACTGTTCATGACAACATGAACTTGAGTTAGTCCTTGCATTATATGGCAAAGTAGCCAAAGCCACAGACTTAGAGCCTCAGTGATTCGTTATAGAGATGTGGTTTGGGTCTGTCTATACAGACCCTGAAGACCCTGGCCCTTGGGGTGGGGGTGAACTCTCACTACCTTTAAGGAGATACTCCTGGTTTTCAGCTTTTAAATCGTTCCCAGAACATGGTTTATCTATTGCATCACTTGCTGTACCTGTCTGTTCTGTGCACAGCTGACTCTTTAGGGTGCCTTGATTGGCCTTTCTGTCGACAGAGCCTGGCCCCGAACAGTTAGCCCAGTCTCGAGTCCCAGTCCATAGCTCCCTGCACCATTCTCACCATTTCTTTGTGTGAGTGCTTGTATGTATATTTATGTGAGATGCATGCATCTATGCATACACATGTCACTAGGCCTGCTCTGTCACTGGGGTCTGGCAGTCAGCAAGCCCCAGTGATCCCCCCATTTCCAAGGTCCCAGAGCTGGGCTACAGGGGCCTACATGGCTTTTTAGGTGAGTGCTGAGAATTTGAACTCAGATCCCCATGTTTGCAAAGTGAGCACTTTACCCACTGAGGACCTGCCCTCCCTTATTCCATTAGTCATTGTCTCTATCCAGATGAACTGAACACATTCTGTTTCTTACAAGCAATGTAATAACTGTTTTTCTATAAAGCACTTATTGTAAGAAATCAACTGATTTTTGCTTTTGAATTGGTATCATACCTTTACTTATTATATGATTAGTTTGGTTTGACTTCGGCTGTTTAGAGATATTTTAAGTTGTTCAAGGTAACAGCTACTTACATATTCTTTGAAAACATTTTAGGTTTGGCCTGAAGTAACCGATCCTGAAAAGTTTGTCTATGAAGACGTGGCCATCGCTACGTACCTGCTGGTAAGATGCTACTAGTTGGGGGTGAAGCGTTCATTAAGTCGGGACCCATGGTTTGCCCTGCTGTGAAATGATTCACATCCAGCATGACTCCTGCATGAGCACAGAGCACACGTGAATCAGGAAGTTGGAAGGCAGATGAGGCAGGCATCAATGAGACACAGTTGTCACTGTGGAGGCACCAACTATGCAGTGCCATCCAGCTGTGGGCAGAGTCTCCCCCACGTAGTCTGTTCTTAATTTTCTGGCTGCCGGCTCAAGTGGACACTTCTTTAACTCAGTACCCTTGGTTTTCTCATCTGTAAAGTATTTAAACCAGAGCCTCCCAGTTTTCCTTAAACTTGTAGTTCTCTTAGTTTAGAAAACGGGGCTATTTTGGTTGTCAAAGCATGCAGTAGTTGAAGAACAAGGAGAAAATATGACGAAACCTTGAATCATCTTGGTGTACTGGTGCCTAGAGATGACCACTGGACATACATGCCCTTTTTCTGGTGCTGGGATGGAACCCAAGGCCTTATATGTGCTGGGCTTACTCTACCGTGGGTACCACTGAGCTGTACCCCAGCCCTGAATGAATACAATGGCAGGGAAAAACAGTGAGGGAACCTAGTGTCCTCAGAACCAAAGACCCTATTTGTTCTGCTTATTTGTGTCACTTTCCTGGGAGCCCTGGGGTCTTGGAAGATGTTTCTTCACCCTGCCCACTCCCCCAGGTGGCATTAGCATTTGGGTCCGTTTTCTTTTTCTTGGGCTGGAACCCAGGATCCTCACACATGCCAGGTAAATACTCTGCCACTGAGCCATTTATCATCAGCTTCTTTTCTAAAATCTTGAGACAGGATTCCCAAGTTTCCCAGACAAGCCTTGAGCTTACAGTCCTCTTGGGGGAGCTGGGATCACAGGCATGTGCCGTTGCCCCATTAGGATTGTTCTGGAACAGAATGAGTCAGCATGTGAGTTGGCTTTACTTTGTCTTTTTTTTCTCAGATCCTCTGGGAAGAGGAAAGGGCCGAGAGGGGAGTCACCACCAAGCAGTCCTTTGTGGACTTGGGGTGTGGAAATGGCCTTCTGGTCCACATCTTGAGCAACGAGGGGGTAAGCAGAGTTCTATTGCCTTTTCTTTTCTCAAGGTTTCTCTGGGTTGGGCAAAGGGGCAATTTAATTTTGTTTTAAATTATTTTAAGGCAAGGTCTTACTATGTAATTTGACTAGCCTAGAACTTGCTTTGTAGTCCTGATTAGCCTCAAACTCATAGAGACCCACCTGTCTCTGACTCCAGAATGGGCAGCCACAGCCAATTCTACAGTCTAGCTCAGTGATGCTCAAAGCTTCAAGAGGTTGGGAAGCTGGAGCATCCCCAGGTGTCTATAGAGAAGGCATTTGCAGTGGTGACCTTGTAAGGACCTGGAAGCTGGGTGTAGGGGTGACAGGAAGGTTCCATAGCCCTCCTTCCAAGTGGGGAAATGAATAAGGTTGCAGTCAGGGTACAGGGACCTTGATGGGGATGATCACAAACTTGCCTTCCCCTGCGTGTTCCCTGAGCACTGGCCCTGGACATGTTCTTAGGGCACAGGCCACCATGGTCCCTTTTGAAGGTCTATGGTGTGATCACTGACGGGGTACAAGTTCTCACTAGCCAGTGTTACCAAGAGTTGAGAGCTGTGCCTCCCACAAACCCCAGGCATGCCCCTGTCCTTCCTGTGTGGCAGCAGCAGTGCCTGCAGATTTTTATATTTGCTAACTTAGCCAAGAGCCACCCATGATTTCAAAACCTTTCATTTCAGCATCCAGGCAGAGGGATTGATGTCCGAAGGAGAAAAATCTGGGACATGTATGGACCCCAAACTCAGTTGGAGGTATTTTTGTCTCCCTTCCCCCAATGCATCCTCTGTACATCTAGCAAGACTTGTTCCGTTGAGTCAGCTGTTGGCAGGAGTGCCTCAGGATTGAGCCTCCACACTCAGACACTGCCCACAGCTGTTACTGCTTCATTTGCAGCAGAAAGTACAGTTTTAGAGACTGCTGCATTTTCTCTCGGCTTACCTCTTTTTCAAATTAGGATAAGATGACAAAGGCTTAAGGGACAGGGAGCTCATTGCCAGCCCCTGAGCTCTTATTCTTCCTTGTGTATTCATGGTTGTTTTCCCAGGGATTCATAATTGCTTGTAGATTGACATTATAGGAAATTTAGCCAAGCAAGATGATGAACTTCTGTAATTCTGACACTTGGGAGGTGGAGGCAGAAGGATCAGCCTGGATTTCATGAGACCTGTACCTTAAATAAAGGTAGAGAGTTGAGAAATGTTTCTAGGGCTGGGTATGGAGCCATATGCCTTTAACCTCAGCTCTTGGGATGCAGAGGCAGGCAAATCCCTGAGTTCTAGGCCAGCCTCCATATATAAGCAAGTTCAAGTCCAGCTAGTGCTAAATAGTGAGACCTTGTCTCCAAAAGGAAAAATTTTAGTCTTAGGTTTGAGGAGTGTTGGTAAGCGGGTGGGTGCATCGAGAGCCCCTGCCGGTGGATATTCAGTCCATACTGGGGGGTGAGGCTGACAATCAGCAGGAGTAATTTGGCAGATGTTAGTGTTACTATGTCCATGGGTCTTACCTACTGCTTGGTACAAACTTCAAACTATCCCAGTAGTAAGTTCTGACTGAAGGAATCGCTGATTGGTGTGAAAGGCTTTCAGGGAATGCATAAAGGTTTGTTTTGAGCTGTTTATTAGGGATCTCCAGGGCCTGCCTCAGACCCTACAATGACTCCCCATCTAGTTTCAGCACCGATGGTTCTAGTGTTGAGTGTACGAGGTGGAAGCTGACTGTGTTTCTGGTGCACTTTCTGCCTGAGTCTGTGGCTGTTAGGTTTTGATGGAAGCTGCGTGCTGCTGTTGCTAATAGTTTGTTTCCAGCTGCAGTTGTGTGATTTCTGTTGTAGCTGTCTAGACGCTTAAGCTTCTTCCCAACCCCTGTTCAGTGGAAGTGTAATTTGAGTCCCTTGTTGTACAATGCAGTGATGATTTCAGATTGTCTTTAAATTTGTGCATAAAATAGCAATTTGCTATTTTCAGAAGGCCCTTTGTAAAGCATGACCCTGTGGCCTGGTAATGCAATCCAAAGTATAAGTAAGTTCTTGAATCATGAAGAGACAAATGGGCAAATTTAAGTGCAGAGTTAGTGGAATAAACATTGCTAATGGTTTGTTGTCCTGTGTGGTCATGCACTTGGCAGTTGGATGGAGAATGTATCAGCATCTGTGTAAACAGCACCACCAGCACCATGGTGGTTCCAACTTCTCTGCTGTGAGGTCTGGTGTAGGGAGCTAACCCTCCTACCATGAGGGCTAATGTAGTGACATCTCTGAGATGTCACTCGTTAGTTCGAGACTGGCTGCTGGCAACCAGGAAGGCTGTTGTACAGATACTCAGAAGGGCAGTGTGGATGAGGTGTCACTGCTAGAAGTTCACTGACCATAGTGACAGAATAGTCCAGAACTGGGCAGACTTACTCCCTCTGCTCGGAGACCAGTCACCAGCTCGCTCTCTCTCTCTCTCTCTGTTGGCTGCTTTCTGTGTTTATGCAGGAAGCAAGTTTTAGTCATCACCCAGAAAAGTGACCTTTTAGGGGATCCTAAAAGTTGTTAGTGATTTGTGTCTTCGAAGACCAACCATGGGCAGGATAGTCACCTTCTTCTCTTAGTAAGTTGGACACAGAGGAGGCCCTGGAGGGTCATGGGATAAGTGGACTGTGACCATGGGTCATGGCCCAGAACTTCTGGCGCATGTACTGACTAGTTCATCTTGTGTGGCATTTTTAAGGAAGGTTCCATCACTCCAAGTGACAAGACCCTGTTCCCTGGTGTTGATTGGCTGATTGGTAACCATTCTGATGAGCTCACCCCCTGGATTCCTGTCATTGCAGCCAGGTGAGTGGAGAGACAGGTGGCTGTTTCTTCCTGTGCACACAATGTCCACAATAGTAGCCCCTAGTCGCCGTGACAGTGGGGCATTTGACATGGTAACTCAGAGTGTTGACATGATGGTAGCATAGATATATTGAGTAACTCTAAATCTACCTGCTTTTCTTTTGGAATTGTGGCTACTAGAAAACCTACACCATCCACGTGGCTCCTCGCATGTTCTGTGAGCCACCACTGATCCCAACTGTGTCATCTCTACGGCATTGCTAACCCATGTTGAAGAGTGTGTGCTTCTTTTTGTGAAACTGTTCTGATTTTGGAGGGTTTGGCTTCAAGGGAAAACTCTTTCCTTAGACAGACCCTTTGCAGCAGTCTGCACTCTTCTCTTAGACAGCGCTTTGAGGAGTCTGAGGCACTGGCTGTGCCTTCAGCCCCGCCTCCCTTGGTCTTCACTGGGCCTCTCCCACCTCCAGGACTGGTTGAGCTGTTTGTGCTGTTAGCTCCACACAAGGTCAAATCTGAACTTACCTCTGCTGTGCCTGCCTTGGTTTCTGATTCCTACCTGAAGTTCCTGCTCCAAAGAGCTGAAGTCACAGTGGACCAGAGAAACTGCTTAGGAACATTATCTTTTATTAACTCGATTTCTCTTTTATTGACACATGATGTGCCGCATGGCCTTTAGAGATCCATGGGAAAGAATCCCAATATGATGGCTATTGGGAGAAAGGTGCCAGCCTCAGGTCCCAGCACACTGAAGGTGGAGCAGGGAAGTCAGGAATAAATAGTGCATTTGAGGCCAGGCTGGGGTAAAAAAAAAATTAACCATATAAGAACAGACTGGTTTCCACTCATTTTTAGATGGAAGAACAGCAGGAGCAGCTCAGTATTCAGCCCGTGCTGCTTGTGCATGCTGTGGTGAGCCTGCTTACCTGGGTCTGTGCTGGCCTCCTCAGGTCTGCCTAGTCTCTAGCTGGGCTCCTCTGGTTATGCTGGGTCTGTGCTGGGCCTCTGATGATTTCCTGGCTCTTTTTTTCTTTCTCTAGGTCTTCCTACACCTGCCGGTTCTTTGTCCTGCCCTGCTGTTTCTTTGACTTTGTGGGACGATACCGGCGGCGGCAGAGCAGTAAGACACAGTACCGAGAGTACCTGGACTTCGTGTTGGAGGTGGGGCTCTCCTGTGGCTTCCACATGCAGGAGGACTGCCTCAGGATTCCTTCTACCAAGCGGGTATGTGCCAGGGCATGTATAGAGCCAGGGAGTGCATGTGTGCTCTGCCTGGGACTCCTTTGGAAGTCCTTCAGGCCTCATCCTGAGGCTGACGTCTTTCTCCCAAAAGGTGTCTGTGTTGGCAAGTCTTGCTCCTCTGAGTTGGAAAAGGTTCTGTCTGGGGTGGCAGAGACTTGTGTTTCACACATGCAGTTCCAATACTCGTCATAACCAAGGAAGCTCATACAGTCTCTGACCCAGTGTTATAGTTGGGTAGCGTAAGTGGTGCCTGGTGAGTGCTGGGTAGCCACCCAGCAGGTGGGGACCAAACACACGAGTTGCTGCTGTGCTCCAACATGGCAGGGCCGGGTGGCTCTAATGGAACTCCACTGGCCCCCTTTGCTGGTGTGCATTCTGACTCTGGAGTTAATGGCCAGAGGGAAGGTGTGGAGGAAGTTCCTCAGATGCACTGGGCAGCCACATTGTATTGAGTGTCAGTGCCAGTAGGTTAACACGAAGCCTCAGTCTCTCACAGATTCCTGGAAACCTTCAGAGGTAAACTGTGTCACTGTAAAATGAATTATTTTGTATATAATAATTAAATGCAAGGAATTATTAAGGTGGCAGTTACTCCTTAACCCGCTGTTTTATAAATAAAAGACACAGAAATTTGTTAGATTTATAGTAAGCCTTAAAACACCAGGGATGGGCAGATATCAATGCTCTTAAGCAGCTCTCTTGTCTGCTTCCCAGCCAAAAATTCCCATAAATGCTTGTACATGTTTCACTTGGGCTTCAGCTTCATCAGGCCAGTCCTCAGAGCCAGCTGCTCTTGGCCATGTGCTCCTGGTTACATAACACATGGCAACCTGCTCCTTTCTTCCTCCTTCCTCTTTCCTCTTTCCTCCTCATGGTCCTGTGACTCCACAAGCCTGTGAACCTTCACTTTGCCTCTCTTCTGCCCAGCCAAGCCTGTTAGCAACTTTATTAGCCAGTCAGGAATAATCAGGGAAGCTAGGTCCACACAGTGTTATTTTGGATTCTTGAGAATTTGCTTATAGGACAATAAGGATCTTGGGGGAGAAGCAGTTAATGTAATACTTAGTAGCTCCAACCCCAGCATGTCACCCCTTGGAGCAAGAGCAGGTCCAGTAAGACTATCAGAAGTATTTAGAACCCTGAGCTAACTTGCACTTTCCTTGGCCCTGCACCCACATTCCTCACTAGCTTTTTGTTTTTATTTTTAAACCGTTTCTGTTGGTATCTCTTTAAAAAATAAGAATTTCAGGGCTGAGCATATATCTCAGAGGGGAATGCTTCCCAGCAATGCACTAGGTCTTGGATTCCATTTGTAGTACAACCAAAAGGCTAAAATAAGGATTTTTTTCTTATGAGAGACTGCTAAAACTTTATCACAATTTGTACTTCAGCACAAGAGTGCTCCGTGAATGTTGAAATTCAGTGTCTCTTACAACACAGGTTTGCCTTATTGGGAAATCCAGAACATACCCACCTTCTGCAGAGGTCTGGATGGATGAGCAGAGAACACGGTACCTACACAGCAGACAGGGCCACCCCCAGAGCCTGCCCAGTGAGAGACATGCATCTTCTGCACCCCAGACTACTGCTCACGATGCCGGTCACCAAGACTGTCACAGGACCTTTGCTGCTGGGACTGAGTGCATGTCTGAGGGCCTGGCTGCTGAGCGAGGAGCAGAAGCCCAAGCCACAGGGCTCTGGGCACCTGGCTTCAGCCCTAGAGAAAAGGCTGAACGTGTGAGGAATTGCGCTACCCTCCCTAGAGATTTCATTGACCAAGTGGTTTTACAAGTGGCCAATTTGTTATTAGACGGAAAGAAGTTAAACATGGGAACCTCTGAAGATGGGAGTCTGAAGACCTGGAATGGAGGAGGTAGGCCCCACCCTCAGGGCAGGCTCACTTGCTAGCATGGACTCTGGGTCTTCTGTAGCTCAGCACACCCAGAAGCTAGGAGTGAGCAGCTGTCCATAGTTGCTGTTCAGGGGAAGACGGCAGAGGCCAGGGCTGCTCATGTTTAGTTCTTAGTAATGATACAACCAGAGACAGGTCACTGAGTGTCAAAAGCCCCACTCCTTTGAATGCAAATCCAATACTGTAATTCTCTGAAATCCCCAAATACAGGACTGTCATCATGGGAAAGGCAGTTGCATCTGATTGTTGGCTGGTTCCTGCACATTTGAGAGAAACAGGCAAAGTAAGCTTACTGGTGCACGCAAAGTTGAAGCTGAGCTTTCAGCTGCACCCCTTCCTTCCACCTGTGACCACTAGAGGGCAGTACGGCGCCATCTGCTGACCAGAACCAGGATTGCACCTGCAGCTGGGGCTGTTGTCTAGTTCTTGGCCCACACAGGTGCAGGTGACCCCCAGCATAACTTAAAGCAGAGTGGCAACACTCCCCCATGCCACATCCTCACTGTGACTGCTGAGTCCAGGTTATGTTCATCTTCTTACCTCCCACATATGACATGGCAGGGTCCTCTTTTATGTTACCCCCCAGAACTAACCGATCCTGGGATGCCCTCCAGGACACCAGCCAGAGTGGCCTTGGCTCAGGTGGCTATGTAACTTGAAGACCCAGCACTCCGTGGTTTGGGCCGAGCATCACTGCTTAGATGCTAATATGGTGTCTTAGCAGAGGGGCAGGCAAGGTTTCTTGGCAAGGCTGGAAGAACAAAGGGCAGGGCTGGGTTGGCAGTCCAGGTCTGGAAGTTTCCGAGTGTGCTGTGCACACTCTGGTTTGCCCAAGGAAGTGATGGGAATTGGGGCCTGTTGGGCTATGCCTGGGATGGAAAGCCCTGAGCTAGCTGGATCCTCCTTCAGACCTAGGTCCAGAGATGGCTTTAGGGACTAGATCTCATTTTGCCTGCCACTAAGAAGAGTGCCAGGTACCATACCTTCCCTGAGAGGTGACTGGAGGCCCGGGCATCTCCCTCAGTAAGCAGTCGCTGAAACTGGGAAGGAGGCCCTCGGGTCTGGGTCAGCCTAACTGATAAGACTGTGGAGGCTGGGCCATCTTTAGTCTAGATACAGGTGTACTGCGGGGTGTAGGGAGGTTCTTGAAAAATACCCCCAGGGACCCACTGTCATCTTAGTTGGACTAGACTTCATTGTCACTGGGTCTCATCAGGGTATTTTCACATACAAGCAGAGTCTTGAGCAACATTGTGAATGGGACCACCCTTGCTGTGATATCTGTAGTTCTGTGCCACACCTCCCACTCAGTCCCTCCTGTGCCTGGCCCATGCGGGCAGTGCCCTCAAAGCTCTAATGGCAGCTTGGCCAAGAGACACAGCTAGAGGCTTGCCTATTGGTCCTGACCCCTAGCTCTGGGCTAGAGCTCATTTGTATGGTACCAAGGATGTGGGGTCTGAGCCACCCACCAGGCATTGGGTAGACTTACTTGATGCTCAGCCTGCACAGTGGAAGCACGTGGTACTGCATGCTGGCACACTGTCCCTGTGGCTGGGGTGGCTTTTCCACCAGCGTGTCCTGTGGTTGTAAGATATAGACTCATTAAACTGCACGGACAGAGTCCTGTAGCTGAACCACGCTTGAAGCTGCTGGATTGGCTTTGGCTTCAGGACCTGACAGTCTCTGCTGGTTACAGACTTGTAATCTAGGCTGTTTGCGGAAACCCGCTTTCCCACAGGGAGCCTTTCCCTGGCAGAAGTGGCTGCGGAACTGAACCCAGAGATGCTGCGAAGGCTGAAGCGGGAGTGCGGAGGCCTACAGACCCTGCTCAGGAATAGCCATCAGGTGTTTGAAGGTAAAATCTATGAGGTCACCATACCCTGTCCATCCTGCTTGTCCCCAGAACAGGTTCCTCCCTGCACATTCTGTAGCACTTACTTTCTGATCGGCATGGAGGGAGTCATGATACTTAAAGGGCAGCCTTGATGTTCAGAAGTACCAGCTGGATAGTATGGCATCCCTGTGCACACCCAGGCCACCACCAGCCTGTGTCTTAGGGTGAGGCCGTAGCCACCCTTCTCTCTTGACGCTCCCCAGCCTCTGCTTCGACTCCCTGTGCCTTGGTCCAGATAGCTCCTGTCTGGGATGTGCCCCTAAACTCCCATTGCTTCCGATGCCTATTCCTCACACAGGGCAGGTGGTCAGTCGTAAAGCCTGCTGGCTGCATCTTGTGTCAGAACATTGGTTTACATCTGCCACCTGCAACAGGAAGCATGGGTTGCTGTAGAGCCCACGAGGCAAGTTGAGGACATGAGCCTTCTGGTGTCTGCTTGATACTGCCACCCCATGGTCCTAGCATAGAGACTCAGAACTCCTGGGTGGCTTTCCTGGTAAACTGAGGCTTGGCTCTGCTCCAACACTGGATTCCATACTTCCAGAGATAAAAGGGCCCATTCTGCATGGGTCATGGCTTAGTCCTTGCCCTTCGAGAGTGTTTAGTCTCAAAGTTAGTTCCAGGATGGAGAGGAGAGTGTGATGGTGTCCACCCAGAGGCCTGAGTTATAGACAGTGTCGTGAATTCATGAGTGTGTAGGAATAGCACAAGGTGAAAAGAGCTGCAGGCCCTGAGTCCTCTCACTAGCCCTCTTCACGGAGCACTTATTCTTCATAGGTGTCTTCGTTGGGCTTACTCTTGCTGTGCTAAACACCATAACCAAAAAGAACTTGGGGAGAAAAGGGTTTATGGCTTACATATCACAGTCCATTGTGGAAAGCCAAGATCGGAATTCAAACCAGGTGGAAACCTGGAGGCAGTGATTGATGCAGAGGCTGTGGAAGAGTGCTGCTTATTGCTTTGCTCTCCATGGCTTGTGCAGCCTGTTTTCTTACAGGGGTGGTCCTACCCACAATGGACCGGGCCCACCCACATCAGTCACTGGTTAGAAAATGCCCTACAGACTTGCCTGCAGCCCAGTCTTCTGGAAGCATTTTCTCAGTTGAGGTTGCCTCCTCACAGATGACTATAGCTGTGTCAGCCGTCACACCCCGCCTGGAGTGCCCCCACCCCAGGTGCTTCCATGTGCAGCATTAAGCACAGCAGGCATTGTCTTGCTTCCCCAGTATGCCTTCAGTGCGCACCTGCTCAGGCTCAGGTACTCAGAAACGCTTTCCTTGGGAGGTGGTGCTCCAGCTGGGACCAGAAGGAGGGAAGTCCAAGAAGTGAGGAGGACCAGGAGGAGAAGAGTGGGAAGTGAGGAGGTCCAGTGTGGGAGAAGATCTGGGTTGGGTAGCAGGCAGCTGTTGCAATGTCCAGAGAACAGTAGCTTCTATGACTAGCTTGGGTGATACCCAAGTGGCCTAGGAAGGAGCAGTCTGGCTTCTACGTCTCTGCTTCTGGGACCTGTGCACACTGGCCCAAGGTCCTTATCAAATCAGTCCTCAGTGTCGAGCTCTGTCGATCTAGGTGAGGGTATGAGCTGCTCTCAGCTCAGTGCTGGTTCCTCTGTGGTGTGCCGTCTAAAGCCAAGAGGCCAACATTACGCACCTCATCCTGACAGTCTGGGGCTTGGGGACAGGTTGGGATCAGCCTTAGCTATGTCCACGAAGGGCCAGTGACTGATGGTGATAGGGAATAGGGCCTTGATGGGGGCTCAGGTGTTAGAGACGGTTGTCCCTGTCCCAGCCCACAGACCTTAGACCTAAGGATGAGAGCGTCCCCTGGTCCTCTTCGTTGTCATCGAGAGAGACGGTGTGCACTGCCTCAGATTTGAGCACAGATGTGTGCTGTCCCATGTACATGAGAACATGATGTGAGGTGCTCCTGCATAATGTATTTGAGCGTGTGTGTGCCCACTGCCAGTGTGTGTACACATGAGTGCCGAGTGCTCTCCTGTATGCGGGCGTGGCTGCGTGGCTGCACACTTTGGATGGCCCAGTTGTCCTTCGGAAGTTAAATGTGGTTCTGTCCAGCTAACTGGCCTTCACTTGGGTGAGTGCTGTTTGTGGGTAGGTGCAAGAATGGCCTGACATATCCCCCTGGGGGCGTTGCCGAAACCAAGAGGCCCACACCCAGATGTTCAGATAAGCCGCCCAGGGCCTGGGATCTGTGCTTACTTAGAAAGCTTTAATCAGAGGGCTGGAGAGATGGCTCAGTGGTTAAGAGCACTGGCTGTTCTTCCTAGAGGTCCTAAGTTTAATTCCCAGCAACCACATGGTGGCTCACAACCATCTGTAATGAGATCTGATTTCCTTTTCTGGTGTGCATGAAACATCACTCATATACATGATAGATAGATAGATAGATAGATAGATAGATAGATAGATAGATAGATAGATAGATAGAT